ATAGGCAGGAGTTTGTTAAGTGTCGAGATCTAAAACTGTTCAGCTACAGAACTAAATTCATCAGCTGATTTTATGTATTTATGTCAATAATTCACTTATTGAGAGAGGAGAGTATCGCTTTCTTAATGCTGAAAAGCGGAGCTGATATATCAAACGTGCTGGAATGAGAGTTAAAATCCTGGCATAAGCAACGGAGTGGGTCGTGCAATTCAAAATTGGTTTTACAAGCTTTCAGAAATATGGGACAAAAGTGTCTTGATACGCGTGAGGGAACATTAAAGCTTACATCAGCCAGAGGGACTCCTGAAGTAACATCAATGACGTCAGAGATAGTATTTTTAAACAATACCCTTTGTGATCTATCATAGAGGTATGAAGAGATCCAACGTAGAAAATTAGGTGGAAGACCAAGAAGATCAAGTTTATAGATGAGCAACGAGTGGCACACTTTGTCAAATGCTTTACTGAAATCAGTAAAATGCTTTACTGAAATCAGTACAATGCTTTACTGAAATCAGTAAATAAGTATTCATTTTTACTATGCATTATTTCCCTCAGTGTAACTGCCGCAAGAAGTACTACGTTTACTTAGGAAGCTTGTAAGAAAATTCAAAATACGAACCCATTCAGAGTGTAGTAAGGAGGTTATAGGAAGTGAGGGATGGGTCTAATTAATTTTTTGTAGTCATTTTAGGTTTGAACGGTCCAAGAAAGATACGAATACACACCCATCTTAATTTTGCATGAAATATTAAATTTCAATTCCCAGGTGTGGTTGTAAGAGGGTGGTAGCGTGAAAATGGTCCGTTGAAGTTAGTTTTTTGGTCATATTCGTTTTCAGCGATCCTGAAAACCTAGTAATAGTGGGTTATACCATGTGGTTCACAACATTTTTTGTTTTTGTGTTCCTGTGTAATTAATATACAACTGCTTTCGGATTTTCCACCTTAACGTGTCAAAGACCTCTTTTCTAGAGTTTGGTATGTTCACGAAAGTTAAGGCCTGAGACATTCTGAACAATTTGCCAAAGAAATTTTGCCAAAAAACCAACAAGATAAAAGATAGAAACCATAAAATAGGGTATAACACCTGAAAAATTTCCATTGGAGGCAAAATTTCCAAAAAAAAGTTATATGAAGCCATGCAGAAAACTTAAAAAACTAATGATGCAGTTCGATTCCCCATACCCGAAATAGGGTGAAACCGTCTTCTCCGGCCATATCTTTTTTTGAGGCTATAACAGTGTAATAATACATGCAATAATAAAGACATTAGCTAGTCACGAATCCAAAAGCGAAAGAGAAAATATTGCTTACCATGGAACGTTGCCGACGGGCTGGCCCGCTGGAGTGAGTATAAATGCTCCATGTAGCTGGGAATTCTGTAAGCGGGATGGAAATCATGTGGCTGGGTTGGTGGTGGCGGCACAACTCCATGGGTGTGGTGATGAGCGTGGTGGGAGTGATGATGTGTGGCGGCGGCGGCAGCGGCGGCGGCCGCACTTGCAACGTCCAGTGACATTTGCATGTTGCTGCTTTCGCTGCCGTTGCACTCATTCGTACCGCCATTTGTGGCAACATTACTGTCACTCGCAAGACTACTACCATGAACGGCTGACGGATTGAGGGAGTTTCCAACACTGGTGGGTAATGGAGGCGGTGGCGGTAACACAGTGGCTGCAGCGGCTACAGCAGCTGCTCGTCTTGAAGCGAGAAATTGCAGATCCGAATATGTACTAATAGAAAATATAAAAAATATAAATTAGAATTAGATTTATTTATATTTTTATGAAAAAATACATGATTTTCTGCATTTCTTAAAAAGTTTTTTCTACCTGATTATATTTGTCCTATAGGTACGGTGACCAGATTTCTGTGCACAAAAATCGGGACATTTCTAAAGCATCGAATCCGAACATACAATTTTGTTTTTAGAACAAAAAGACATACCATCTTTTAATACAGTTTTATTTAAGACAAAATAAATAGAAATCTGTATATGGGGCGTTCCATACCAAATCGGACGGGGTTCACAATTCATGTGTTTGATTTGTTTCAAATTTTTAGGGTTGACGCATTAACACAAATAATAAATAAATGGGAAATTTGAGCTTGATTAATACATTAGTAAAAACTTTACAGCACAAAAACAAAAACAAATCCATTTAATATTTTTCCAAATTTCTCGAGAACGGGGCGAGGCAATAATTTGAAAAAAATCACACATACACACGTAAAAATTCTCCATGAAAAAAAATATTTTTAAGATTTTTTTCTTGAGAAATTTTTCACATACATATTTTTTGAGAAAAAAAATTGATTTTTGAAAATATGCCATCTCAAAAAAATTAAAAAAAAATCACAATGGTAGCTCTGAGTATTGCGCAATATTTAAGTATAGTATTATGGGGTGCACTCTTCAATAATTTCAGTTGTAAATTTTTTTTTTTACACCGAAGTTGAGTAAAATGAGTAGGTACATTACAAATTTAAAAATTTTTTAATTTTTTTTTTAATTATTTTGAGTATGCAGTTATTATTATTATTATTATTTATTTATTACAGCTCTCTTGAGCCTAATTCATTACAATATATGTAGACTTAACCTAGTTATTTAGTATTACATTGCTTAAGCCTAATAAAATCATTTGGAAGGGCATTCATACATGGCAATTACAAGTTGAAATTACGGAACAATAGTAAACGGAAAACAGATATAAAGTAATACATTACATTATATTGGGATAGATTTACAAAATTCAAACAACTTTCTTTTAAACTCATTGATGTTTTTACATTGCTTGACAGTATTTGGTAATTCATTAAAACTTTTAAGACCCTTGTAATAAAGATTGCATTTATCAGATTCGCTTTTTAACATGGGTAAATTGAAGTCATTTTTCTTACGTGTATCTTTATTGTGTACATTGCTGCCATACTTTAAGTTAATCTTTAGGTATTCTGGTAAATTATCTTCAATAATGTTTTTAACAAATTTCATCGTATAATAAAAGTGCTGTTGTTTCACACTTAGCCAACCAAGTGCTGATAACTTGTCTCTAATGGGCGTGTCATATCGTTTTCGAAGAATGAATCTCATTGCTTGTTTCTGTTGCTTCTGCAATTTATAAATTTGGCTATCATTCATTATGAAGAAAATTTTTGGACAATAATTGAGGAGACGTTTTATTATTGATCCATATACCATTATTTTATATTTCCTTTTCAGTAATTTGCAAGTACGCCGCATAAAGTACATTTTTTTTTTGCTATTTTGCTTACAGTATAGTCAATATGATCATTGAACTGTAGCTTCTCATCAATTTTTATACCCAAGTACGTAAAGCTCCGCACCCTTTCTATTTTTTTTTTGGTTTATGTTTAAACTACGAAGTTCATGCATATCAATATTTCTTCTGGATATGACCATGTATTTGGTTTTACTTACATTTATTTTAAGTTTGTTTAAACATAGCCAATTATATATTTTATTTAAGTCATCTTGTAGTTTTGAAACAATATCAGTAATATGGTCACCACTTAACATGATTAACGTGTCATCGGCGAAAAGATTAATATCACAATATTTAATACCGTTGGCAATATCATTTATGTATATATTAAATAATATAGGTGCTAGCACTGAGCCTTGAGGTAGACCAACCACTATACTTCTTTTGTCAGATACCGACGATCCAATCTCTGTTCTCTGGTAACGATTTGTAATAAGACTTTGAAACCATTTTAGCTCAACGCCCCGTATCCCTATATTACTCAATTTATTTAGAAGTAACTCTTGATCGATAGTCTCAAATGCGCGCTTTAAGTCTAAGAAGACGGCAACTATGTATTTATTTCTGCTCAATTCTTCTTTCCAGCGAGCTAATACTAAGTTTAGTGCAGTTTCACACGAGTGCCTTTTCCTAAAACCAGACTGTTGTGGCATTAATATTTTATTAGTTTCTAAATATTCTATTAGTTGTTTTTTAACTACCGTTTCAAGAATTTTTTCATCACTAGGCAACGTATTAATTGGTCTCATCTCGTCGGCTCTGATTGTGTTTTTGACTTTCTCAATTGGCACAACAATAGATGTTTTCCAGTGATCAGGAACAACACCATATTTTAGGCTTTCATTAATTAACTGCGTGTAAGAGTACCCTGTATATGTTATAGAGTCTTTTATGACTCCCTCAGATAATAGTTTTTTTCCTCCAATTTTATTTTTAAAACCACTGACAATTTCAAGCACTTCATCGGTTTCGATTTCTATAAATTTAAAGTTATGTGTGCAATTTGGAGTCGTAAAGGATTCTTTTTTACCAGGTTCTATATTTGAGGTAATTTCAATAATGCTGTCAATAAAGTAATTATTTAGTGATTGTGCAATCTCATTTTACGTTGTGTACAAGTTGTTGTGAATTAACACTTTATTAATGGCGTTTATTTCCTTTGACATACTTATGCAATTTTTTAGATGCTTCCACATTGATTTGCTATCTCCAATATTAACTGTTATTTTATGCTCCAAGTATTTAACCTTTTTAACCTTTACTATCCTCTTGTATCTACGTTTGATTGTATTATAGTCACTCCAGGCCCCTGTTTCTAATGCTATCCTGTAAAGATTATACTTTTGTTTATTAAGGTTTGTAATTCAGCATCATACCACTTGTTCATGAGCTTAAGCCTTATTTCTTTAGTGTATGTTAGAATGCCCATTGAATGCGACAAGACATTAGTTAAAAATTTCGATTTATCATCGATGCTTAATTTCGAAAAATCCCTGTAATTGTATTGCCTCAGTTGGTAAAGAAGATTATCACTTGCTCTCATTTTATATATTTTCTCCAACTCGATCTTGACATAAATTGTCTCATGATCGGAGATCCGATGCATATCCATTCTTTGACACGAAATGTTTTTGCTATTGGTAAATAATAAATCAATCATGGTTTCGACCTCTCCCGATTTCCTAGTATAAAAATTAATTTTCTGAACCATTGAGAAGGACTGAAATAACTCCATCAATTTTATACTGTACGTTGTAGCTTTATATAGATTTATATTGAAGTCTCCAATAAATACAGTAAATTATCATCTAGGCAAGTATTGTTTAAAATTTCACTGAGGTAGCTGATAAAGTCAGCATCGCTAGAATTTGGCGAGTGATATATTACCCCTATTTGGTATTTCGGGGTAACATTTCCAATTTTTAAAAGAAGACACCAAATATTTTTATCCCACGAGTAATTAACGAGAGTTTCATATTTAATTGAGTGATGGACGTAAATTAAAACACCGCCTGTGTGTCTACTATTCGAGTAGCATCTAATTAGGGTGTAGGTTTCTACCTGTATTTCGTGGTTTGTAATGTCTTCGGTCAAACAGGTTTCTGAACATAGCACCAAATGGGGCTTACAAATTTCTATTAGTTTCTCAAGTTCACACTTATTAGCTGTAATACTGTTTATGTTTAAATAAATGATATTCAATTCATGAACACTTCGTTGCTAAACTTTAGTTTTGCTTTTGGCTTGAACGTATTTTTGGTATGCAGGGCAATCCAAACTGAATGCTGAGTGATTTACATTAACATCTATTACTTTTTTCTGAACAAGTTCAGACATCTACTACATGCATTTTTATTTGTACAATCGCTTGACTTGTGCTTATAACCTAAACATTTAAAGCATCTCATAATATTTAGATGCTCAAATACCATGCAAGTGTCCCATTCGATATTTACTTTTTTACGTTTCAAGACACTTTCATAGGTTAAAGCATCTGTTTCAACTAGAATGTTGAAGCTTTCTTCTCTTCGCGTTCTATTTTCGTATACTTTCAGTACTTTCAACTCCTTTCCCAAGAACTCATCATTTTGCTTGGTTAGACATTCTATTATGCGATCATTATTTATTTTTTCGGTTAACCCAACTATTTTCAGTATCTTTTCTATTTCCTCTTTTCCTTTAGCTTTCTGAGCCTGGAACTCCGTTCCAATACTATCTCTTATTTTTTGGTGCACTTTTCCGCAAGTATCTTTATTTTTACATTCTAAAACTATTCCCCCTCTATTAATTTCTTTCACAGTCTTAACAAGACCGTCGGTGGGTTCGATTACCTTTTTCAGCGCCTCTTTTGTTTCCTTAACGTTTTTATTTTTGTTTAAGGGCTTTATAACAATTTTATTTTCATTTGTTTTGACAGCTTGGGCATATGATATTGGGGCATTTTCTTTACTAATTACTGGCTGCATGTTTTTTACCAAGTCATTACATTTTTGCAGTTCACTAGAAATTTCCTTAATGATATCATTTTTCATAGCATTAATTCTCACTCCAATGTTATGTTCCAGAAATGTATTAAAGTCTGAAACAATACTCTTTTTATTTGCGTACATTTGTTGTTAATCAGTTGCTCCAAAACTTGTTTTACATCAGCCGCCTTCAACTTAGATTGCTCACATTTACTTATTAAATGTTTTATTTCGATAAATTTCGTATTCGTATCAGATAAAGTACACTGATTACAAAACCATTTCAAATTAATATTTTCCGTGATTATTTCAATTTCATTCCTTTTAATATTGCTACATTTTAGACAGAAGTTATAGCCACACCCACCAGAGCATGTTATCATTTCATCTAATTGAAACAATTTGGCAGTACATTCTTTACATTCTACTGTTGGCATTTTGCCACTTTTTACTGTTGCAATATACCCTAAGTTAACG